ACAAAAATTGCAGGCCAACCTATAGACGGGTTTATCTATAATTGACCTAGAAAACATGGGCTCATCCATTAACCTCTCACCTGACCGATCAGCCATTACAACCGTGAAAAATAACGCAGTGTATTGATCAAAACACTATCTATTTTTTGTTTAAATTTGTTTTTCTTTCATTTTCTGATTTATTTTACTATGGATACTGCCGAAAGTTATAAAAAAATTGTAGGCATTTCTTGTGCAGTTAATAGTTGTACAAATAATAGAAGATATAGAAAAAAATCAATATTTGAATTACACAACAAGTTGCACAATGACTGCCCTTGTTTTTGTTGTTTTAATTGTAAGCAAATCAGCCCAGAATGAAGAGACAAACTTTTTCATTCATGACGACTATATTTATGCTGCAAAATGGACAAACATTCAGAAAACATCAACTCACACAAAAATATTGTTAACAGAGGAGTAAGGAGTGCAAAATTAAATAAAAGGGGGGAACCATGTCAGCCTATAGAAATATTATGAATGACAGTGACGCCTTATTGTATACTTATGTAACTAAGTTTTCTTTACTTTAGTGGAATTACTACACAAATTAGATATAGCAGATTAGCTGTTGCTCGATCATACTGATGTGGTTAACACTTAGTTTGTTATTTGGTTATTTTGGACAGCGTTTTCATATTTCGAAAAGTAAGGCTTGTAAAATATTTTTTTCCTGGGTGCCAGTTATTGCTGAAAAGCTTAAAGGTTTTACAAACAGCTGCATCCATAGACAAATCCTAGCAAAACTTACTATTAAGGGCCCTTCCCCATAAGCACCATCTTAATGGTCCATATTCATGATACATCTTATGTAGGCCTGTGTGCTTAAAGTATATATTCACTTTACTTTCTTTATACGACATATACAGTAACTTCTGTTGAAGCTTGATCTGAACTTTCCTCATCAGTAGATTATTCTGTGCATGAATTATAAAATTTTACACATTAGAAAGGATTTTTCAAAGGCCTTGGTAATCAAATAGTTTACTAGAACCTACGGACATACCTGTCAACTGACCCGAATCCTGCGGGTGTGACCCGAGATTTTCACAATTCTGAGGGGTCACCCGGGACACCCGCGGGGTGCCCAAATAACCTGGGAATTCGGAAAATGAGCTGCTTTCACCCTGATACTGGCAAATTCGTAATTCTCCCTGGACATGAAGTTCAACTGGCTGTGTAAACTCAAATTAAGTGACCCATTTCAGTGCATGGCTTCACTTGACAGCTTTGGTGTCAAACACACTGTTAATTAACACCAATTACCTTAGCTTTAGGTCATAAATAATTTGTGTATTTCAAAGTTGTTATAATAACAATTTGGGTTATTGTGAACAGCAACAAAAAGGGGAACTTTTTATCACTGTTCACAATATACTCCTTAAACTTATGTTTTTTTTTGTAAAAAGATTAAATCTAAAATGAATTGAAGGCAAAAACATACCAGAATAACACTTTTACTTATTTTTCTACTTTGAAACAATTAAAAAATAAAAACTTTGAAAATTACTTTTTTCATCTATACCTCCTTTAAATGTTTAACTTTATTTTATTATAACCTAATTTCACCATATCACGTTACTTGATGTTTAAAAGTTGCACAATTGTGTGTAAAGAACAAACAAATTGGCACATTGTATGTCATGAAATGAATATGAATTGGAATTAAGGCAGTGTAATACAAATCTATTAATGACCTTGAAGTGCAAAGAAATATTATGTGCAGTTTTAAATTACTTAACCATGTGAACATGTTTTGGAAACTGTTTGATTTAAATTATAAGAAAATGTCCCCTACATGTATATCCTGAAATTCAGCTCGAAAAAGTTCGTACGCGTTATGACCTGAGATTTCATTCTTCAATGCAGGAGATGACCTGCATTTTCATTGTCATAGGTTGACAGGTCAGGGACTAAACTTAATGGTCGCCCAGTCGCCCTATGCAACCAGATTTTAGGCTGGGCGAATATATTTATCATCCTGATCACCCAGCTGGCGACCGAAAATATTTTGCATTGAATCCCATGTCTATCCTTTCCCCCACGATATAAACAAAAACTGTTCCCAAACGGAAACCTGATTGTCTAATTAAAGCGGGAAAATGGAACGAAGGATTTCCGGAAACCAGTAAGGTCATTTTAATAACCAAAACCCAGTCGGACAACTAAGTTTTCAATGAGAAGTCATGATTTGACACATGTATACCCTTCTCTAAACACGTTTTCTAATTTCTTTTTTAAAGCTTCTACGATTAATTCATTATTTTTAAGTGTTTTCGTAACGCTGTTGAATCCAAATTACTTTAAAGATACATCCCAGTTGTTCAGAGAGTCATTACAAGTCCGTTTTTGACAAAAACTTGTAAACACAACTTGTTCTTCAATAAAAAAACAAAACGCAAAATCTCATAAATAAATATAATCATATCTAGTATGTTAACCAATCTTCGATGAAAAGTAATTATATAATATTTTTGATCAACACTTATTAGAGGATGGCTTGGATTTGGAATTACATTTAATGTTTTATGGAAACAGCTATATTGTCAACAGAAAGTTCAAATTGAAGGGAGACAATTTTGGTGGGAAATGTTTCTAAATTCAGTACTGTCAAATCTTATGATATATTTATGATGGCAATAATTCAAATTTTATAAAGTTACCACACATAACCTTTACCAGACTCAAACATTACATATAGGATTACATAAAAAGGCTTTATTTAAGGAATGACTGTAATATTTAGAGGGTTATTTAAAAGTGTGCACCACATTTTTTAGGTTGTTCGAATAGACAGAAAAAAATTTTACAGTCATTCCTTATAATTTAATTCTAAAAACGAGTAAATCATGACAAAAGTGTTGATGACGTCACGGTCACATGAAGAAATTATGTCTATGAGCTGATAAACAAAACACTTTCAGCCAGAAGACGTGTTACATCCAAAATTAAATTATTAGTATATGAAATGTACATTTAAGTTTTATTTTATTAGTATAAAAATTGGTTTGGCCCCTAAAATTTCAACTGGGCCCCTGAAAAAAATATTTTGGGGGCCCAGCTGGCCCTTGGAGAAAAAGAGTAAAGTTTAGTCCCTGCAGGTATGCCTATGGACCACAAGCACAAAACTCTCGTCTCTGTGAAAAAGTTTATCATCAAACGGTACAAATCTATAGGTATATTTTTTCAGCAGAGACAAGTAACTGCGCATCAGAGAAAACGGGCTGTTGAATGATAGGACTGTCGGATTAGAGGATTGTTGAATTTTAGGGCTGTCTAATTATACATGTAGGTCTGACCACAGAAATTTCTATGATTTGATAAAATTGCACCTGGTTTTTCTAATATATCACAATTGACCCGGCAAGACAATTTATTTTTATTTATATATGTGTTATAATAATCAATATTATGATTACCAAATGATTATAATCGATATGTAACCTGGGATTAGTATTCGTATATATTATGTTCCTGGTGCAACATATCAAATAGTTATATTTTAAGGACAGGACACCTGGCCTGCAATACACTTATAATTTTAATGTCCATTCCTTATCTAATTACTTTATTATTTATAGCATTTATAATTTTTTCCAGGTCAAGTACGCCTTCATATTCTTGTGTTTACGTTAATTATATGCGATCTGGGAAATAGATGTATATCATTTATATTTTTTTCAAGGTTGTAATGGCGACTGCTACTATGTCGACGCCTAGGAGTCGCATCACAAACTAAGGCAGATAATCGGAAAAACCTGTCTATATGAAATACCTGTGATTTTTTTTTATAATGGAAATTTTCAGAGTAGGTCATGTAGGTTAGGCCACCCTAAAAAAAATTTTGTTTGGCATTAGCATTGCCGACCCACACTATCAGCAGGTGGGTAGGTAGGTAGGGATTTTTTTTTTTTACATTTAAAAGCTTTTTTACACATGTAAATCATGACTTCTCTAGATCAATGGCTTCTAAATTTAAAGCATTGCAGCATTGTTGTGTGTACAAGCTGATGGTTTCCTTGATAGGGGTCAACCGTCAATGTCACATTCTACATCATATGGATAATTTCATGTCAAGACAGTCAGTTTTATTAGCAGAGTTAACCAACTACCCAGCAAAAAACACAGACCTGTGGCAAGAAACTGACATTAACCATATAAAATATCCGACGTGAAAATTGAACCTTAATTGTGGGACTGCCCATTGAACAGAGGCCTGATGTCACATCTTGAAGTTGCGGTCACAGTTTAGTAAAATTACCATATTTTAAATGTCTCCACCACTACGGCTCCTTGTACAAATAAACAATAATTTAAAGCTTTGATTGTTTGCTGTGGTTTTAATGTCACTTTCTACACCATATGGGTAATTTCATGGCAGTCAGTTTTGTTGGCTGAGGAAACCGGAGTACTTGAAGGAAAGCGCCAACCTGCGGGAGGAAACTGACTAAGGCCACACTTAAAAAAATTTTGGTTTGCCCAAACCCTTCCCAAAGGTAGAGATAGTGGGTAGGTAGGTAGGCATTTTCTTTTTTTTGGCGAAGAGAAATTGAAGTGCAAGATGTTTTTTAGTCTTCATGCCTATCTGATTAAAAAAAAACTTTTTCACATCAGGACAATAAAAGATTTTGAGTAAGCAGCTATTTTCTGGGTAGGTAGGGTTAGGGAAAACAAACATATCTTTTTATGGCCCCATTACAAATTTTGTCTTTAGGCCTAAGGGTACGAAATGGTATATGCACTTGGCCCATAGTACAAATGGTTTTGATCATGTGTACGAAATGGAAAATGTAGGTACAAAAATATCGAAATGACTAGCTTTCATTTCTGACCAGTTGGCAGTTCATATTGTTCCGAACTGTTATAACTTTTTGTTTATATAAGGATACGTGTCATTTTAAGGGTAAATGCGAAAGATGAACATGATATGGGAATGAATATTTTTTGATTTTCTGAATTACCAGCTGATGATAGGACTTCTGTTACAAATGATGCCATTTCTTGTTCTTTAAAAACTTTGACAGCTCATATGCCGCGCAATGGTATGGCAAGGGAGACAACTTCTATTTTTAAATTATAAATACAATTCCGGTTACGGTAAAGAAACTAATAAAAATCCGGATAAAAGGCGACTACCTTAGATTTTAGATTTTAGAGTGCGAACCTGGCTGATGTAATTATTTTACAACGTTTTCTTTTTATGTATGAACTATTTTACCACGTAAACATATATAATCCCCCTGTAAATATGTCCGGTAACTAGCCTATGAATTTTAAATGCAACTAAGAGTACATACAACAAGTCATGCGAGCAACTACAAAAGTGAACAGTTGTATATATTGGTGGAGGATAGTATTATTCAAAATAAAGTATACATATATTTCTTCATTCATGGTGGTGGGTTTTGTTCTACATGCCGAACAGATAGTGTAGCGGTGTGGTTGTCCTACAAAGGATGTGAAGATTTGGAAAGAAAGAAAGATACTTTCTCTCATAGGCAATCATGAGAGGGTGGACAGGGGTAAGGGAACATGGAAATGAGGGGGCAGTAAGCGGGAGTCAGGGAAGTGGGAGTCAAGGGGAGGTAAGCGGGAGTCAGGAGGGCGGGAACTGGAGAAGAGGGGGAGTAAAACTAGGGTTATTCTGGGGGGGGGGGGGATTGACCGATTTTTGTCTTGGAGTAAAAGGGGACGGAAGTAGGGAGTTAGGAGAGGGAAGTTTGAGTTGGGTGTAGGAAAGTGGGAATCAGGGACCCCCTGATCACCCCTTAATCCGATCAGAGACATATATACACATATATGTCTCTGATCCGATACCGTGATCACCTCGTTATTTTCAATTCAATTAAAATTATGATCCTTTAATTATTCCCGTTCTGATATGTCGAGCAACCAAAGGATTTTATTTTAATTATATTGGTTATTTTTATGATTATTTAGATGACGACGGATATGTTCCAATTATCGTAACCACAATGATCCCGTCCTCTTTCCCCCCAATGTGACCTTAATTGCTACCGAATTAGACTTATTATCGGATTTGTACCGTTACATGATGAACAACACGACGGGTATCACATGTGGAGCAGGATCTGCTTACCCTTCCGGAGCACCTGGTATCATGGGACCGGTTTTTGGGTTCGTGTTGCTCAGTCTTTAGTTTTCTTATATTGTGTTTTGTGAACTGTTGTGTGTCTTTTGGTCTTTTTCTTTTTTGCCTTGGCGTTGTCAGTTTATTTTCGACTTACTAGGTGAGTTTGAATGTCCCTTTGGTGTATTTCGCCTCTTTTTTCCAATAATAGATAAAATGAGATGTAGATTATAGATGTACGTCAATGAGACAGCGTCGCCATGAACGACAACAATAATTAGGGGACATACAGTGTTCAAAAATAGACAGGCTTCTTTACATTATTGCACTCTAATTCGTCCCGATTTTACCAGGTTGTGAATAGCTTTAACAGAGACAATCAAAGATCTGCTATTAACACCCAACTCTCAAATGTCAAATAGTCGAAAAACATTTTAAAGTGTGAGCCCACTATTGGTATGAACATTTAGCATGACAACAACGTCAATAAGTTCAATAAACTACATTTAAATAAAAGAAAATTTCAACAAGCGAAAAATACACTGTTAAGGTTCGAGATCATATCATTTAATAAATTATACTAGTAATACACCTACAAGCGTATGATATAATTGGCTATCTAAGAAGTTTGGAATGCATGGTTGTAATGCTTCCTGTGTCAACAGCAAGTCATATATCAAAAGTCTAGCGCTGTAAATATATCAAAAGTCTAGCGCTTGAGATGTAAAGTCGAGCGCTGTAGATATCAAGTCAAGCGCTGTAAATATAAAGTCAAGCACTGTATATTAAAGACCAAACAGCCTATTGTTGATGCGCATCAACTAACGCAACTTGGTAGTGACATAAAAGCTCTATGACGTTGTTTCTAGCCATGAAAAAAACGTCAAATTATAACGTCCTATTTCGCGTTTCCAAAATGGTGTACGCTTAAAACTACGTCTTCCAAGAAAAGTGGAATTAAGCGTCGCGCTGATATCTATTGGAAATTAAACACAAATGGACACAAAAGATACTATACTATCTGTAACCTCCGTTCTAATAAAAATAATAATAAAAATATAAATTTTGAACTCGGCTTTTTACATTTGCGCCGATCTGCATTTCACTTTTTTTCTTTCACTTGCCAATTTTGTCTTTCATTTGCGCCGATTGTGTACATGTAAATTATAGGTGAAAGTTATTTTTTTTATTTATCATATAAACCTCTTCCGTTAGCCAGTTGTACATATGTTATGAATTATCAATTACAACATGTATATAAATGTTGTCCCCTGCTCACAAAGGGGATGTGGGAGTAGAATTTCGAGCAGGATAAGTCAATTTAAAAGATATATGTGCACTCTGTTTACATCCACTTAAATCACGGAGTAAAATTCCATTTACAGCATTTCAAAGCACCACAATAAAATCCATAAAAATGTAATACTAGTACAATGAATTATTATCTTGTCGAGAATTTATATGCCACACATCTGATATATTCCTTTCTTGTCATTTCATCTTTTCTATACTTGTTGTACTTGCCAACAACGAAGTCCATCTTTTTTTTCTCGTGTCAAAACGAAGTTCTCGAACAATATGACCAAAATTATCTTAAACATAAGGGAACACTGTTTATATCCATATATTACCATGCAATATACATTCTTGGTTTACTACATGTACATGTACTTACTCGTATAGCAATATAGTATCGGGGCTAGTGATAAAAAAATTAAATAGGCGCTAATGAAAGAATCAAATCGGCGCAAATTAAAGATCGAATTTTTTTTTAAATCGGCGGAAATCTCGTACGCCCGTTTAACTTTACACTGGTAAATTTATATGACTTACGCTTAGAACTTTAACTTAATGTGATTTTCAAAATTGAGTTTTCAGAAGGTTAGGCCGATAAACAATATTTTCTAAAAGTTTCGATATGCTGGCAACGTATGCATGTTGAGATTAACTTATTTCTTTAAGATTCTCGTAAAATTATGGTGATCTTGCAATGAAGTTAAATTTTATCTATACTGCTTAATAGACAAAATCTTAAAGTAAAAATAAAAATGATAAAGGTTCATTGTCTTTTGTCATTTGTTTCATTTCAAATTGTCTAAAGGAGAAATGATAAAGATTTCGCCTGATCTCACAGAAGCTTAAGGCAAAAAATATAAAAAATTAATATACTCAGTGAATGTGAATTAAAATAAAAATTTACGGTTTTTAAAACTAAACTTGTTGTAAATTTAACTTATGACAAAAACAATTGCTTCAAGAAAAAGATCCAACATAAAACTTCTCACTTTAAAAAAGCTACAATGACCGGAAAGATTGAAAACAAATTTCGATTTTCAATGCCGGCAATCTATACATACCTCGTCTTTGTTTTAATTTCCAAAATGAGCTATTTAGATTCATAATATTTCATCCTGTTTTGAGAAATACTTTATAGTTTTCAACGGAAAGTTATTTCTTAGATTCTAAATCAATTTTTGAATTAAAAACTTATTTGTTTTATATTTACTGTCTCGTTTATTCAAAACACGTGAGGTAGTAATAACGGGTATCGTATTTTATGATAGGTTAAATGGATGTAAAACGTTTTAGAATCAAAAACTTTAATTCATATATTATACCTATTATTTTAATTTTCTTATATTTTAAAATGAATGAAATAATGAATCCACAAACTAGATGGAATAATTTGTATACGCTCGTCTTAGTCGAAACACATAATGGTATAAAGAAGTCCGTCCGTGCTAATGTGTGTCCGTCTGTCAACAGAAACGAAAGAGTGCGCTAGGACAAAGTTCTGAAATTGACGCGACAAAAAAACCCACACATCTAGTCTAATATAGTCAAATAGTGTGTAAGTTAGCCAGTGTCATCTTTCATTTCTCTTTTTATTTTCAATGATTTTGCTAATGAGATGGAGAGGACAAAAACAGACTTTCCTTTCTAAAGCGTCGTAAAAGGTTATTTCGAACATTTTTTCATTCCGACGGATGGTGTTTCTGAAGGTTAATTTTGTGCGGCAACAACATCATGAGATCTGATACTGATACATACATGTGATCTCTTGTATTACTGGATAATAAAGTAGGTGAATATAGTCGAATTTTGATTCTTGAAAATTTAAATGTGGGTTTCAAACGTCCAATTTGCAATTTTTTTTTCAAATAGTGCGCCAGCAAGGAAAACTTGTACTATGACGTCAGATTCAATGTTCTGAAGAAAGACAACTCTTTTCTTCAAAACGAACGAGAAAAAAACATGAAAATTAATCATAACTTTTTTGAAAGGTCGGTGACATATACATTTTTTTGCTTTATTTTGAAGAGTACACATGGCACTTTCCTTCTTGAAATTTTTATGAAAAAATCACTGGTAGATATTTTTTAATACTTGAAACGTTTTTCATTCTTGCGTTTTATTTTTGGCGGGAATGAAATAAATCATATTTTTTAAAATCAAAACAATAAGAGTTTTAAACTCTTGAACCTGTATTTGATAGACACAAATCTACTGTTTAACATCAAAAAGAATTATGCTTGTAGGTTTGATATAATGGGATTTTTTGAGAGTTTAAATAAGAAGCAAATATCATGTTAATATTCGGGAAAACATGAAACTGAGGTTGCTATAGTGACAAAACTAAGTCGGTGACCCCCAATTTTTTTTATCATATTTTGTTCCTCAAATCATGAAATACCTTCACACAAAATTTTAAGGAAAAATCACTGGTAGAACTGAATAGGCTGTTTGGTCTTTAAAGTTAGGCGCTGGAGATTTTAAGTCCAGCAGTGGAGATGCAAAGTCCAGAGCTGTAGATCTAAAGTCCAGCGTACATCTACGGCGCAGGACTTTACATCGCTGGACTTTGCATCTCCAGCAATGGACTTTATATCTCCAGCACTTGACTTTAAAATCTACAGAGCTAGAATTTACATCTCCAGCATTTGACCTTGAAAACCCCAACTGAAATGGGACT